AAGTGTAGTACCTAAAGGCTGCCACACTGAGGCATGGGATGCATTGCTTTGTGACTGGTTTTCAAATCACAATTACTAGTCTTCCTCTTAAGGAAAGATAGTAGTCTAGAAATTAAACTCATAAAGCCCCGATGGAACTTGATAAGTAGGCATCTCCTTTCCTGTGTGTTTGGGTGGTATAAATTGATTGCTAAAAAGAGTCCCACACATTAGAAGGAAAGCACACCCGCTACTTTATGGTTATCATATGTTAGAATAATAGGAAATAGTCCCATGGTCATCTTTTTTCTAGAAATGTTTCCTAAACTACAAAAGAGAAATGATCTGTCCTATTACTTAAAGCATTCAAGCAACGAGATCTCTCAATGGTTCTATTCAGGATTGAACAGTCAGTTACATTGTTATTATTCTCCCTTTGTCTGACCAGATGGGGAATGACTACAATTCTTAGAGAGTTATAAAAATCACAAATAAAGCATATGCAATATAATGACACCCTGTTTGTCAGAGAAAGAACATGTTCTGGCAAGTCCTGGAAATTAAATCCACTCCAGAATAGTATACTAGAAAACAATTTTCTAATCTAATACATAATTTGACTATAAAGAGCTTTAAAATGAGTCTATGTTAATGACCACAAAATAAATAAAACAAAATTTGACAAAATTATAAGAAAAAATAATAAATCTAAAATGATGTTTTTTAACACAACTCACAGTGATTAAGAAAACAGGCAAATATTTAGCAAGAATATGGTTGATATAAGCAATAGACAAACTTAATCTAGTAAACACATTTAGAATCCATACCCAATAATTAGAGAATGCATTTTCTTTTCAAGTCCAACTGAAACATTTATAAAAATTGACTATATACTAGACCACAAAGCAAGTTCAAGAAATACTAAAGAGCCTATATCATATAGACCAAATTTTCTGACTGTAATGCAGTTGTTAGAAAGTATTTATGAAAATGTGACTTAAAGAAAATTCACATTTTAAAATTAAAAATATAACATGTTTAAAGAAATGAAGGAAAATGTTCAATATTTACAATGAAATGGAAATAAAACTATTGTATATCAAAACATATGAAATGTAGCTAAGGTAGTACTGAAGAAGAATTTGTAGTTTCAAATAAATATATTGCAAAAGACTAAGACCTCCAAATTAATGACCTAAGCTTTCAACTCAAATTAGAACAGGAAAAAGAGAATTAGCAAAAGCAACACAGGGCAGAAACCAACAAAACAGAAAATTAAAGATATAATCTTTCCTATTGTATCTTCATTTTATATTTAATTTCTGCTCTAGGCCTAGATGGTTTGCTCTCCAAATAATGAGTAATATAACCTTGTTACCAAAACCAGACAAAGACAAAATAAAAAAGGAAATTACAAGTCTATCTCAGGAATATAAATGTAAATATTAGCGACCTGAATCCAGCTAATATAACAAGAATACATATCATAACCAAAGGAGCTTATCCAAGGAATACAAGGATGATTTAACAATAGAAAATTACAAATTAAAATTGTTTATAACAACTATATGACATTGTGTTAATAATGTATAACAACTACATAACATTGTGTTAATGTATGAAGAAAGATTATATGCTAAAATTCAATATCCATTAATGACAAAAATAACCTAGCATAATAAAAGACATCTTGAGTGTGTTCAACATTAATTTTTAAAAAAGTGTGAAAGGAGACTGATCAGAAATAGCCAAGGCAATTTTGAAGTAGAACAACATGAAGAGGCATATCCTACCAAACTGAACAGATGCTATATAAACCATAGGGTGGTTTTAGTAAATGGACATAAACCAGGGTGCATTAGTCAATTCTATACACACAAGAAAACTTGACATTGTACAGAAGTGGCATGTGACCTTACTGGAGAGATGAGCCATCCAAATGAGTACAATGGCATAGTTAGTTTTCCATAGCAGAAAAATAAATAAATCCCAACCTCACATCATGTAAAAAAAAAAAAAAATCATTTCCAGGGGTTTTAAGACTTATATTTGAAAACAAATTTTAGAACAACTATTTGGAGAAAATACAGGATAACATCTCTATGATATTAAGGCAGAGGTGAATTCTTAAATAAAACTTTATATGTACAATTGTCATCAAAGTTTATGTATAACAAGGATATGATGAAAATAGGAATCAATGAGCTAAAAAAAAGGAGGGTGTCCATGATGCATATAAACAAAGGATTACTATCCAGAAAGTAAAAAGAATAAATAGAGTTTAATTTTTTTAAATGGGCAAAAATGAGTGAGCAATTTATGGAATCACCTATTATATAAAAGCTGTTCAATATAATTTGTAATGAGGAAAATGCAAAGTAAGACAACAAAAGCATCCATTAGATTTTTTTTTTTTTAACTAAAAGCTCAATGATATCAAAGGTTGGGAAGGTTGTAGAGCAATGGGAATTCACATTCACTGCAGATGAAAGTATTTACTGATTTAGAGAGAAATAGCATTTAATAAAGTGGAAGGCATATAAATCCATGGCCCACCAAATCCCTTCCTAGATGTGTAGAAAAGAAACTCTCACACATGTCTAGGAGAAATGTGCAAGAATGTTCACTGCAATATGGTAACAATGAAAGCAACCTAACTCTCCACCAACAAAATAAGGAATCAAACTATTGTGGATTTAATTATAATGGAATACCATTTAATTGTGTTGTTAAAATTAACAAATCAACTTAAGTGCCAAAAATTTGGGGAGAAAAACAGACTTGATTGATATATCAGGATCTCATTTGCATGAAATTTCAAAGCATACACAATATTATATATTGTTCCTGATTCCATGTACATATAAGAAAACATAAAATCATGCATGGGAATGAATGATGATTCAAAAGTTAGGGTAGTGATTACCTTGGTAGAGAAAAGGAAAACAGATCAGGGTATACTAAAAAAGGGAGCTTTGTTTTATCTGTAATGTCTCAATTTCTCTGTAAAAGATTTAATAAATATGGCAAGAGGTAGTTGGTGGGCACATAGATATAATATTGTCTGCTCTTCTATTTGCTTCAAATATATATTGTGATTTTTTAAAAGGAAGTTAGTAATATTCTTTTAAATACAAAAGCATGGTGGTCACTTGCATTGGAGGAAGAAAAGGCAGGATAAGATGAGAAAGTTTCCCAGCAGATCTCTAGCATAGTCTGGTGCTTAAGTGCTAACATGATCCATGCTTGGAAAAGATGAGACTTCCCAAGTTTGGACTGAAATAAATGAGCTGTGGTCAGGTAAGAGGGAGGAAGAGAAATTACCATGACTTTTCCCTGCCCTTTCTTGCCCTGTTGCCCCAGCTCTGTTTCCTTCCATCTCCTCTCTCTCCCTCACTAGCATGGCACAGAAAGCCACATCTGCCTAACTTTATGGAAGAAATGTAGCTAACCATATAACTCTGTCTTTGCCTTCCCCAGCAGACTTCCTCCAGGCATTGGGGAACCTCCATTAATTAGAGAAAATCAAAACTCTACGATATGTACACTCACATATCAGAAATTTTCCTCTCATTTGGGGCATTAGAAATTCAAGCAGTATGAAAATTCTACAGAAGCTATGTGGCCAAAAAATTATTATTGAGCCTTGAAGTAAGAGAGAATTGTATTAACATTTATTAACTTGTGCTAATCTCCTAGATATTTAAATTAGATTCAGTAAAGTTGTATTTAACTCTTGTGTTCTTGAGCATTTCCCTATATTTTCATTATTTCTAATATGATAGTTTTAACATATTATTGGATTGCTCTCTGTGAACAGCATTCTCATCATGTAAGTGCCAATGCTGTTTATGATGGGTTCAGAGATCCTACTTAACTATATGTAAAAGAAGATTGAAGTTTTAAGTATTAAATTTTCCAAAGCAATATATATGTGATTTAAGAATTTTCTTTATTTTGAATTTTTTTAATATAGTAAAAATTCACACAATCCAAAGGGATATAAAGGTATTATACTAAAGGTAACTCTCTTTCCTGTACATTGTCCCATGAGTTCCTTCCCCAGCGGCAGCCATTTTCAATTTCCTGTTTCTCTAAGATACCTTATATGTGGACAAATAGGCATCAAAAAGAATTGTTTTAGTAGTCCATTCCATAGGAATCGTATTTCAAAATGTCTGTATTCTTAACACATTCAGTGCTTCTCTGTTTGAGGCCAAATGAGTAGTGCAGAAATCTTCAGGCTTGGGGTAAGACACAATATAAGTAAAACCCAATCACTAGAGCAAGATTTTGAAGCCAGCCATGATAAAAGTGACAGAGATGTCATAATGATTATTAAACTCTTTATAGAAAAATCAGGAGAGAACAGTGTCAATGCAGTAAGTTCCAAGATTTGAGTCTGGTACCAGTTAGACATAAACAATTAAGTGGCATGTATAACTAGCTTGTGTTATCCTGTAAGGATACCAAACTATATGGGTAATTATTTTGTCTAAAATTGAATGTAATCTTTTTAAAAAAAACTGATTATACTGAAGTGTATCTAAATAATTTCTTTCTTAAGCAGTCTAATATTTAGCCAGTTCTGAAATACTGTCAGAGACTACCCAATTAGTCTGTTTTTCTACCTCTGCTAAAATGTATACCTAACAAAATGTTTGCAATAAAAATCCCAAGAACGAATGTATGATGTGGGTGGAGGATGGGTTAAATATGTGATGGGGATTAAGGAATACACTTGCTATGATGAGCACCAGCTATTATATGGAAGTGTTGAATCACTAATATTACACTGTATGTTAATTAACTGGAATTTAAATAAAAACTTAAAAATAATTTAAAAATTTTTATTTTAAAAAAAGTATGTGATGTCAAAGAGTATTATTCATATTAGCTCGTTACTCTTCAACACAATATATTTGGTATTTCCCATGGATGCAAAGGATTTTCATGTATTTTTTCTAAATCTATATTTGGGATCCATTTGTAAGAAAAATGTCACCTTTGTCTTTTAGGCTCTTCTAACATATAGGAGTGACCCAACCATGAGAAAAATGTTGAGTCATCTGTATTTCTATATCATGCCTGTGTTTAACGTTGATGGATACCATTTTAGCTGGACCAGTGTAAGTCACTTTGCCTATCCAATTGAAAAGAGATAGAAAACAGCCATAGAACAGGAAGGAAACCTGGTGGGCAGACTGCCTAGTGATTCCAGAACTGCAAAAGAGACCTCCACTCCCTGTCCCATCATAGCAGCAAACTTTGGTTTATATGTTTGGCTTTGCATGAGATTCATTATATCTCATTTGGAAGATTTATCCTTCCAAAGAAATTGTGAAAAGTCACTAGTCTAGCCCAGCTTACTCAATTTACCCAAGAAGAAATAAGGCCAAGAGAAGCTAAGAGAGTAAGTGTGTGACAGAAATTAGAGCATGACCCTGGGGTCTCTGGGGTCTCTGGGTCTCTGCTCCTTATCCATTCCTCTTTCTACTCCTTAGATTTGTCTGTTCCTAGAGGAACTCTCTCTGCAGTGCTGTGATTCATTCACCAGTTGTGCTATAAAAATGCATGTGAATAACTTTTGAATATTTTTTCTACACCTATTTTCTTAATTACACTTAGGATCGATTTTGGAGAAAAACAAGGTCAAGGAACTCAAGGTTTCGCTGCCGTGGAGTTGATGCCAATCGTAACTGGAAAGTGAAATGGTGTGGTAAGTTGGAAACTAACTGGAATTTGGATCCAGAGGTTTCCACAGCTTTCACTCTCAAAAATGATGAGCCCATTAGGACTCCAATGTAAGACTGATGTTTTCCTATGTGTGAAAACTTAACAGAGAAAAACACAGATATGTACATTGTAGCTATAATTTGTAAAAGAAAATGAAAGGAATTTTTAATATGGAAATATCAAAGATTTACATCTGTCAACCCAATCTTGAAAATTGAAAATTTAAACACAGATGTAAAAGCAGAAAACAGGAATATTCAACATTCAGAAACTAAAACAGAACTGTGGTTTGAGGTATAAATCTGGTTAAATGTTTTCTTCCTTTCATTGAGAAAGTGAGAGTAATTTTGATCCTGCTTTCATCTGGCTGTGACAATCAAAAGTACTAAATCCTTGTCTAGAATCTACCTATCTAAGGTCTCATGCATTGACTGACCACTTACATGGCAAGTATATTTCTGCTACATTGCATCCATCATTAATACCTTTCAAGTGAAGAGAGGATGTCTTTTTTTTTTTTTTTGAGAGGATGTCATTTTAAGAAACTCTTCAAAATAAAGAAACAGCTAGGTACTAGAGAGGGGAAGGTGGAGAGAAGGGAGAAAATTAACCATAGCTAGTATACAGGGGGCAAAACTTGATCTCTACCCACCTTGGTTTTTCAGCTGAAGCTCTTAAAAAGGCAGATTGGCAAAAGAAAAAGAGTTTATTAACATGTGCGGCACATGTCACATGGAAGAAACCTCATGAAAAGTAACTCAGAGTGGCAACTTAAAACTCTGGTTTATATAGCATCTTCAAGGAAATTGTAGAGAAATGACAGGACAAAGGAAAGTAGTTTGGGGATAAAATAACTAAAATAAATATATGGGAGGCAACGAATGGAGGCAGGTTTGTTTGCAGATTCCTGAGGTGCTGTCTCTAGGATAATAAAGTCTGTCTCCAGTAAAAGAATTTATATCCTCTTTTTAGGCAGAAAAATGGAAGGTAGAGAGAGGTTTTCCTGCATTTGCTGCTGCTTAATTGCCTTCAGCTCAAAATAATTTTCACATCAAAGAGGCATATTTTGGGGTGACATATTCTGGTTTCCTTCATTAGTATCATACTTGGCAATAGAAGGGAGGGTACAAAAAGTATTATCAAAAGGCAGTTGTAAGGAGCTCCCCTTTCAGAGTCCTTCCTATAAACCATTGTGTATTAGAAGATCTTCTGTTAGTCCCTTAGAAATGAGGCCTATTCCCAAATCACTCATCCTCTGACGCATTAGACACCACTCCTCCCATCCTACCAGCATCAGACAAAGCAGCTGGGCATGGGTTTAGACTCCTTCCACACATCCTCTCCAGGCAACCTCCCTTAATCAGTTAGAACTCACAAATAAGAATATGTCTCTAGAATATAACAGATATGGTTTGATTCTACCATTATTAGCTCAGTGATTTGGGTGATTTTTTTTAACCCATCAATTTATAACAATAACACCTATCTCATAGCATTCTTATGGGAATTAAAGGAATTTACATATGTTTAATGCCTAATTCAGTCCTAGTTCCAAACAGAGATCTAAATGTCAGTGATCTATCCCTTCTCCCCCAAGCTGCAGAACAGTCAATTGATCTCTGAGCCTCAGGTCCACGTTAAAGTACTTCTTTCCTTCAGGAGAGTGTTGTGATGATAAGCCTTAAGGTAAACTTAAAAGGGTTCGCATTTGTGAGAGAAGAAAAGCATCACATAGATATTATAAAGTGCTGTTAATGATGGTTTATATTTTAAAATTTTTTCTTCAGGGCACCTGGGTGGCTCAGTTTGTTAAGCGTCTGACTTGATTTCACTTCAGGTCATGATTTGAGGGTCATGAGATCAAGCCCTACATCAGGCTCCACATTCAGCAGGAAGTCTGCCTAAGATTGCCTCTCCCTCTCCCTCTGGCCTCCCACCCTCTCTCTCTAAAATAAAGAAATAAATCTACAATTTTTTTTTTCTTCAGCCTGGACTGAGAAAAAAGCTGGTTCACATTAACTCCCTAAGACTACTAATTTTTTTTAAATTCTTTCCCCCACCCTTTCTGATGCAACCATTTTGCATGCTCATAACTGTGTGTCCTATTTCATTAGTTGGTAGATATCTGTATCCATGTGTATGTCACACAAATGATGCCCACAGTCATCTAAGTGAGTGCACTGAATGGATAGCTAAGCTTAGTAACACTAGCAGGCCAGCCAGCTCTGCCTGTAGAAAGTTAGACTCTTGTCTATATCCAGTTACAAGTAAGTGTCTTGCTTTCCATCGTTCTTTTTCCTTTACCTGGCTTGTTTCCTTCATACATAGACCTTCACTGTTTTCTTAGTTTCATCTGCAGTCCTCACTAGAATTCCTTTGATCCTTTGGATTTCTGAATCATTCAGATTCTTCCTGTGAGTCTGTACTCAAGGTGTACAAGGGGATTATGTCAATTGTCAGTTGCAAAATGACCTTGGTAGACTGTTGTAAGTGATGTGGAAATGCAGGCAGCCTGGCTGGGATCATCTCTCCCCACAAGGTGTCCCGAGGAGATGCAGATGATCTGACAGGTAGGCAGATATGGACTTCCTCCCCCACAGCATCATCTCCCCACAGCTATTGGCTTGGTCCAGGGGACAGTGAACCTCACTGAGGGAACCACTCTGAGGTCAAGGGCCCAGAAATAATTGTAGTCTCTAAGTGAGGCTCCAAATAAACAACCATTGTATAAATGACATAGAAATGCCCAGGAATGCCCAGGACCATTGAAAACACTATAGAGTCAACATTGAACTGAAAAAAACAGCTATTTCTTTCCTTAAATGAGTCTCAAACTCAAAGAGTAGAACATGAAACTCTTTTTTATCATGAAAAATCCGTGGATTCCCACATAACTGTTACACTTCAGTGCATTTAATGTGGAGTAGACAGACAGCCTAGAACATACTTCCTAGCTCCTCCTAGGGGTCTTCAGGCCATGAAATGAATATCATTGCTCAAAAGTGGATCCAACAGGGAGTCAAACAGTCAAAGTAGTAGTGGGAACCAAGAATAAATATACTAATTATATTCATTAATTTGCCATAGTTAATTAAGTACATACTCTCTGCTAGGCACTGTGGGTTGTTGTTATGTTTTTTGCTCGTTTGTTTCCTTCTTCTATGTACTCTTTTTGGAGAACACCATGAGCACTGCTTCTTCCAAACTGGAACAAATCCAGGAGAGAGGCAAAGAGTTTGGATGATATCCATGTTTAAATTTTAATCCTTAAATAACTCAAGTGTTGCCTAAAAATAAGTTATTATTAGGACAACCTACAGAATGGAAGAATTTGCAAATGACATATCTAATAAGAGGCTTTTATTTAGAATATTAAAATAACTCTTACAACTCAACAATAAAAAACAACTCAATTTAAAATGGACAAATGATTCCAACAGACACTTCTTTAAAGATTTACAAATGGGAATAAGTACATTGAAAAAAAAAATGCTCAACATCATTAGCCATCAGGGAAATGCACTTCAAGATACCACATCACACCCACTAAGATGGCTATAATAAAAAAAAAAAGACAGACAATAACAAGTGTTGGTAAAGGTGTGGAGAAGCTGGAACTCTCATACTTGCTGGTGGGCATGTAAAATGATGTGGTCATTTTGGAAAACTGTTTAATGGTCACTCAAAAATTTAAACATAGAGTTACCATATAACCTAGCAATTCTACTCCTACATATATATCTAAGAGAAATGAAAACATTTGTCCATACAATGCATGTACACAAATGTTCATAGCAGCATTATTTATAATAGTCAAAAACTGGAAATTGTTCAAATGTCTGTCAACCAAGGAATAGATAATAGTATTTAGCCATTAAAAGAATACATACTGATACAACATAGATGCAACATAGATGAAACATTATCCTAAGTGAGATAAGACAGTCATAAAATAATATTGTAGATTCCATTTATATGAAATATCCAGAATAGGCAAATCCATAGAGACAGATAGTAGATCAGTGGTTGCTCAGGGCCAGGGAGGGGTGGGAGGTAATGCTACTGAGGAAGAGGTTTCTCTTTGGGATGATAATGTTGTTGGAATTAGATTGTAGTGATGGTTGTGAATATACTAAAATTCATCCAATTATACACTTCAAAAAAGCAAATTTTATTACCATTTAAGAGCATGTTGGGCATTTAATGAAATATAACTCTTTTTTTAGAACACTCCATTATCTAATATTATAAATTAGGTATAGTGTGGAGAAAATCATTTTTTAGCAGTGCAATCACAAATGCCTCTCTCTACAGATGCCCTTCTCCTACCAACACCCCCTCACCCTATCAAAAAAAAAAGGGGGGGGGACCTGTTTTGATTTGGCAAATGTTTCAATAAGTCACCTGAAATGAAAGGGGAGCTACTATGTACTGTTTGTTTGCAGCCAATACCTGTGAAAGAGCAATGGATGGTCACTGGCCTGCTTGTTAAGAGGATGAGTTCTTCTAGCTGAAAGGCTTTTGCTTTAAACCTGAACTGAATTGCTATAAAAACATATAGAGAATTTCAGAGACAAAATTTGGGACAAGGAGAGGAAGAACAGGGAGAAGTGATGCTGCTGGAATATCTAGAAAGGGAATTCTTGGAAGTCAAAGATGATTAATGAGAATTTTAATTAAATTTTCCTGTAAAGTATGCAAATTCTCTTCAGTATTCCAACCAGCACTGGTAATATTCAGTACACTCTCTTTCACTGATTAACGCTTTGTGGAATGGGATATGCTATTTGGGAATGTGAGGAAGTGCTGAGTCTATCCTCCAAATAAGCTCAGGGGGAGAACTAATTCACATCAAATTTTCAGAGGTATGGAATCCATAACAAGAATACACTAACTTATAAGACAAGAATGGCTAATATCTGCTAAGAATGATGCATAGATGGGATTAAACATCAACCGGATAGTCAAACTGGACTCTTAAGA